AAGTTGCTTCCCATGTTGATACGTTAGTTCCAACCACCAAGAGAATTAAGAACACGTTCTATACACCTCACCCCTGAGACTTAAAATTGCCGATACTATACTCGGAGCTATAGTTCTCTATATTTTCCCAAAGACGAACCCCAGTTCAGAAGATCTATATCATTTTGATCCATGAAATCTACTATATATTGCTCAACAAATCAATCCGATCCGGACAAGTTCGCAATTATGATCGATATACAACTTTCCTTCTCGTGCCTTCTCACTGTCCACCGCCATCACTTTGGTACTACCTCTCTTGTATATCAGTGGAAAACATACAGCGGTGCATTGGGGCGAGAATAGGACGTCAAGCGCCTAAAGAGATCGCCAAAGGAATCGGACCGAGCAGCTTCGTATGCTTCACCTCTTTCTCACAGAACAGGCCAATGAGGGTTGTCGTTCGCGAACGGATTACCGACAATGCAACCCCGCTTGCGATGGCTCGGTCCATACTCCAGAAACGAGCCATCTATCTCGTCGGCACCTTTCGCAATAAGCATCCGGCGAAGTCACATTGTCAGCGACATCATTGATCGTTCGTGTGTTCCAACTTGTAGGCGCAAGCCAGCATGGAATTTGGCATCGGAGGATGGCTTCACCAGGACTTCCATTCCGGAGGTTTTTTGCATCCTGATTTGTCTTCACATGAGCCTCGAAGCTTGACCTTGCACTATACCAGTGCTTTTGTGTCTGCCATAAGAGCATCCGCAAGGGCTCCGGCTCCGGCTGCTGTGAAGCGCCTTTCCTGGCCGCCGACGGTAAATCAAATGGTGCAGAACCGCATGTGCTTTAGGTGACCACCATCTCTGCACATTGGGGCTCAGGTGCGTGATAATATCGAGAAATGCTATCAAGCTGCAGTTGACGATGTTTTCGTCGGCCTGTTGGGAACTAAGCCTTTCCGATCCGAAAGCTTGAGAGTATTCGCTGTCACTGTAGGAAGAACAGGATGATGTGTAATATCACAGAGAAAATTTCAAGAATTTCAAGATCCAGTAAGTTTATGTGGGAAGGAGAGTGTGTAGAAAGCAGAACGGAAAGAGGATATCTAAGAACTAACTAGACAGGAGCTTGCCCAGAGAAAAGGGCTTAACATTAACCGAAACATCTCTTGCTTGAATGTCTACGAAGCTATATTCACAAGGAGTTTGATTAATTTAGATACTAGGAGCTAGATATACTTATAGTATATCTAAGTTAATAGGTACTTTAGTGAGGAAGGAACCTGACCGGACAAGGGAGCCCTGCATTCACAGAAACGTCTTTTGCTGAAAGATCCACAAGGTCATACTCACAAGCAGTATACTTTAGCTACTTTTAATACTGAAGCCAGATGGGCTAGCCAGTCAACTGACTACGGAACGTTGGTTTTAGATCTAGGGCCATGCATGCCGTAAGCACCAAAGACATTGTTGAGGATCAGACTAGATCAGCCTGAAAGAGCGCCAAGGGAAATTGGAAGCAATCCAATTCGGGTATTGAATCTTGATTTGAACTGTATATTAGGCTTGTCCAGAAGAACATAGCCCTGGGAAAGTATTCATACGAATCAGCGTGACTGCGTGCAAGGCAAAAGAACAGATAAGTCTACGTGCACCGTCTATCACAGGTCCTATTTATGCTGAATACAGGTGGCGCATGATCCAACTATTTAATTATCGCTACCACAGAGTACACAGAGACAATTGACTCACCCTTTATTTGTAATGTGTCAAGGAGCTAAATCTCGCCACCTCAACACTCAACTCCTGTAGACTCTTCATATTAAAGTCAGCCTTGTCTAAGGTCATCCCCAAGTGCTTGGAGACCCAGGTCCGAAATTCCATCTCGATGAGCGAGTCCACCCCGTTCTCCCGCACCGAGCGTGAAGGGTCAATCTCGTCTTCGGCAATGCTCAGTATCGAGGACAGCTTTTTCTGAATCCCCATCAACAACACCTCCATGGCAGCTTCCTCGTTCTGAGCGGTGGCTAGTAGAGTCTGCACATCATGTTGCTTGATCGAGCCTGTCGGCACCCCGGCTGGGGACACGTGATTCCGCAGATTCATGAACAATGGATGTTGCAGATGGGGCGGAATGGGGATACCACGTTGCTCGTACGCGGATCTAGTGGCTAACCCGCAAATGAGCTTACAGGTCGCCGGAGTTCGCTCCAACCGTGGGTCCAGTGCGTGGTCAATGATGGCCAACATCTGATCCTCGCGATGCACGGTAACAGCTCTGAAGCTGTGACGGAGAGACTCTCGATGTTCGGCATAGAATCCCACCGAGTCGACGGCGCCGAGGTCAATACTCACGCCTGGGAGACCCTGAGACACACGTAGCCGGGCTAGTGCATCTTGAAAGGTGTTTCCGGCGTTGTAGTTTGCTTGACCGCGATTTCCAACCACGCCTGATATTGAAGAGAGCATAACGAAGAACTGAAGATTGTCAGATGAGAGAAGTTGGTGAAGATTCCAGGACCCCTGCACCTTGGCTTTGAGGGGCTCCTGCCATTGGCGGTGGCTCATTTTCTCGAGCGCACTGTCCGCCAACGCCAGTGCGCAGATTATGCATCCCCGGATCGAAGCACCGTTTGGACCTCGGATGTCTCGGAGAACGGTCTTGGTTCTCTCGGCGTTCGAGATATCACAGCAGATCACCTGGACCCGGCAGCCCTTGGCCTCCAAGGTGGATACCGTGGCCTGCCTGGCGGTGTGCAGTTGAGGGGTCCGGCTGAGGAAGATTAAATGCCTCGCTCCTCGCATAACCATCCAATGGGCGATACTACAGCCGATTCCCCCCATTCCACCCGCCAGGATGTAGGCAGCATTCGGGTCAAGAGAATACGCCGCGGGGGGGTCAGGAGCACAAGGAATCTTGTCAGTCTGCTGCGGAACGCAGACGATCTTGCCCATATTCTGGCCCGTCTGAAGAGATCGTAAGGCGGGTTGTATCTGCCCGTATGGCACGAACGTCACCGGCTCTGGTGGATGGATTTTTCCATCCTGCCACAGTTGCATGAGCTCTTGTAAAAGATCGCTCACAATTCTGGGGCAATGCTTTGCCAGCTTAAGCGCATCTACTCCAATAAACATTTTGTTGTTGGAGAAGGGGCCCATGTCTAGCTTTCCACCGGCTTGGATATCCCGCTTGCCAACTTCGATAAAGCGCCCCAACGGCGCAAGGCAGCCCCAGGACTCGTGCAAAGCCTCCCCAGATAGTGAGTTTAGGATAACATCCACCCCTTCTGGTGCCAGCTGGCGGATCTCAGTTACAAAAGCTAGGTCTCGGGTGAAGAAGATGTGGTCAGCCGGAATCCCGTACTTGCTAACCAGGAGCGTCTTCTTCTCGACTGTTGACACAGTGGCGAAGATCTCAGCTCCAACCATCTGAGAGTACTGTATCGCCGCCTGTCCGACTCCACCAGCAGCCGCATGGATCAGAATTGACTCACCAGGCCGCAACTGGGCAACCTTCTTCAAGGCATACAGAACCGTGGTCCATATGACTGGCATACTAGCGGCCTCTTCAATGCGCAAGGCTGCTGGGACACGTACCGCGAGGTCCTGCTCAGTTCGTCCCAATGTTCTTAATGCACCAGAGTTAGACCCGTAGTTGAGATATGCTACTCGATCTCCAACCTGTAGCTGCCCTCTAACGGCTGACCCTACTCGGGTCACGATACCAGCAGCTTCAACACCAATGGTCACTTCCGGAAGCTCTCCCATCACTACGAGTAGGTCCCTGAAGTTCAACCCCGCCCCACACACGCGGGTCTCAACTTCCGTTGGCCCCAGCGGACGTGACACATCTGTGTCTGACACCCAGTGTAAACTGTCAAGTGCTCCTGGCCGTCCAATCTGAAGCCTTACCGGCCGTTGCAACGAATTCCACCCTGTGGATTCAATTTCCGGGTCTTTCCACTGAGCGTTTATCGAATGCGTTGCCTCGTCGTTCTCGACGATCCGGGCTGTCTGAATCTGGGGGCCATGAAGTAGATACTCTGCGTTTTGATGGTAGCTCCCCATGCAGTTACCATGTAGAAACTGATGCGAGAAGATCCGCGCGACCCCGTTAATCACGTCTTCTGCCGAACTTGTTGCAAAGTCGACCGCCACAGTCACTAAATTCAGATTGTTTGCAGCACGTTCTATTCGGACCGTGCGAATAAGACCAACCGCCAGAGTCTGTCTCGGGTCTTCACAGCCAGTGATCCATTGAATGCGGTTGCAGGTGGTCAATAAGTGCTTGACGCGGTCGAAGTTGGCTTCATCCATGTCATACAATAGTAGGCAATGGAGCTCCAAAAGGGAAATGCAAACAACGTCCCGCAAAGATTTGCTATCTAGGGATTGGAGGCGCTCGATAGAACAATGCTCAACCCCTGTGCTCATGAGCCGTGCTTGCAGAGCTCGAGCAAGATTTTCGTCCTGATTCTCTGCGATTACAATCACAACCACACGATCACTGGCAGGTACTGGTACAACTGCCGTCGATACCATGAGATTGAGTTGGTTGAATTCTGGGTACTGAGAGCTAGGGATCTCGATATCCACACCTGAAAATCCCGATTGGGAAATCACTTTCTCCCACTTGTCGGCTGGAACGTAGGGACACCATTGCCGGAATAGTTCCGTTGCTGACCACCATCCAGCCAATGTGCTGAAAATTATATTAATATACGCGGTGTCCTGACGCGCACCCTCCAGAGTAATCATCCTGCCGCCAGGTTTCAGCAACGACCGAGCATGTTTCATAGTCTGGAGGATATCCGGTGTGGCGTGAAGAACGTTGCTAGCAATAACCATGTCGTACGATTCTCGCGCAAATCCTTGTGTGATAGGATCCACGCTAATATCCAATACTTTGTATTGGAGTATGTGTCCCAAGGCTGCGAAGCGAGACTTGGCCCTCTCAAAAAAGTTGGATGACAGATCGGTATAATCGTACTCCGCGACACAGTTATTGCAGAACTCCCTATGCTCTCCCACGGGGCACAAAAGACGCAAGATTAGATTGGTGAGACTGCCGGTGCCAGCGCCAATTTCAAGGACCTTCATATCAGAGTAGGTATGATGAAACGTGGACATAAGCTGAGCGAAGCGAGTCGGGAAGGGGCCGGTCTCCATGACCGAGTCATAGTACTTGGTCATGAGGTCATCTTGTCCAAACATGAGGTACAGAGGATCGGATTCCTGTTTGAGAATTGATCCCAGCTGCGTGCCTATGCGAAACAGAAGTTCCCCGGTGATGTCACGCGTAGCGACACGTACAAGTAGGGCCCTGCTCATCTCGTGGTTCTGTGAAAACTTTTGCCACTCATCCGAGCTCACCTCGGGGAGCAACCCCTTAGCTACGTCTTGAGCCAGTTTTCTCAGGTATGCATAACATCTGATATGGTGCTGTGAGGCCGTGGCTGGAAAGTGATACCCCTCCAACTCAGACAATGCTTTGCTCGCCAACAGTGCAGCCGCTAATTGCAGCTCAATAAACCATACCCGCTCTGCGTCATATTCAGTTTGTTCATCTTCCAGTGTATTGATGGATGAAGTGGAAATAAAATTGGCATCGTTGCTCCATTGCATGGAACAACAAATTTGATTGTCAATTCGCCCGGCAGCCTGAGTCTGGAGAGGGGAGAAACGAACACCACTGAAAGACAGGACTCCACCAGCGCTTGAAGCACTCCACGCACGTGTATCAATAGAATAGGCGTCATGCGCAAAATGACATGCTTTTGCATAGCAACTGAGACTGCTTTGATTTTGGACTTTTGCTGATACCCAAACGCGTTTTATGAAATTAGGGACAAGGCTGTTTCTGAAAGTGATAGTGCCGGTGAGATCGCAGATCGCAGCGAACCCCGCTTGCAAAGCATTGTCAAGTGTAATCGGGTGTATGAGATGTGGACGAGCAAATCTCTTAGGCATAGCCGCTGCAACATCAGGAATGGTGATTTTGCCGGACATAACGCCCCCTTTGATTCCTCCCGTCTTCACAGACGAGAGATTTCGGAATGAGGAACCAAGCCGAAAGCCGACAGAGTCAAGATTGTCATAAACCCTATCATACTCCATCGATGTCTGACAAGCAGATGCTTGGTCTTCAGTTTTAATCCAGGCTTTGCGGTCGATCGCATCTTCGCGCCCATTGGTGACGGGGTTGGGAGAGAGAGCAACGTCTCCGGCGATAAACCCAGTGCAGTGCTCAGTCCATTCATCAAGATCAAAACTGTATGAGCTCACTGAGAACCGATTCCACACTGTTGAATTTGACAAATTCGACTCTTCCGCCGGGCACATGGAGAAACATGTTTCAATGCCGTAGTTATCAACAGGAACGATCAGAATCGCCTTCAGATTCACATCTCGAATACGAAACCCGGCCTGAGTGGTCCCATCCCACACTTGTCGGAAGGCCTCTATGGCCATCACGAGATATCCGGCACCAGGAAAGACGATCTTTCCCGAAATCTGACTTGGTCAAAGACTGAACGTTGGGTAATGACGAAGTACCAGTATTGCTTACCATATGATCCCGTAACCACGGATTTTCGCTCACTCGCAGGTAGTGCTTCCAACTTTGGTGCAAGCAGTTTGAATCTGGAATCGGAGCGCCGAGTAGCTCATGTCGCGGGAACTTCCTGAACCTCAGCGCTCGAGTCAAGCGGCTCTCATAGAGACTTTTCTCAGAGTGATTGAAGGGGTACTGAGGCAGGTCAACCGCCAATACAGGGCTCCTGGAACCCGACTGGAAGCAGCTGTTCACTTCAGACAAATTGACATTTGCACCCCCAGCGACAAGATGACCGACGGTGTTCAGTATTGTTCTTGTTGAGGAGTCCATGCGGTTAAGTATCATTCGATAGGAGATGGAACCCTCGTCAGCTAGAGTGTCTTTGATTGCGCTCTGAAGGGCACCATGAGGCCCAATCTCAATCAGATAGTCGACTGTGCCGTGGCCATCATCAAAGCACATACGTTCCAATGCCCCAGCAAAGTCAACAGTGGAAACTAGGCTGTTGACCCAGTAAGTTTTGTCCAGTAGGGGTTTCAAAACCTCCTTGCCAGTGCTGCTCGAGAACATGCGAATGGTGAGATCCCCAGGTGTCCTATAGTTATAGTCTGCCTCCCTGGACACATTGTCTAGGGCAGCCTCATACTCATCCGCAATGTCTTTCATGCGGGGAGAATGGTAGGCGTTCGGAGCTCTGAGACGACGCATGAAAACCGATTCCGTGCTCAATCTCTCCTCCAATGCCAACACCAGGTTCTCATCCCCTGAGACCGTGTTATTTCTGGGACTGTTGTAGCATGCGATAACAAGTTCCCCGGGTACCATGCGACGAATCTTCTCCACGTGCGCGAGTAGGGTAGCACTGTCAAGGCCAACGGCTAACATTGCTCCCTTTGGTTTACCCAGAATCTGCATAGTCAAGCGTCCGCGATGGTAAGCAGCATCCCACGCCGCTTCCCGAGGGATTTTTCCTGCACAGTAGGCTGCTGCAATCTCACCAGATGAATGACCCACTACTCGATCAGGCTGAATGCCCCAGCTTGCTAGCAGATCCACCAATGCAACTTGTATTACAGTGTATGAAATGTGTGAAATCTCAGCGAGATTGATGTTTGGACACTCACTCGCGCCGCATATTGACTCTACGCGTGTTTCTCAGTTCAGTCATGATTCAGCGCATGAAGACACATTGCGATCCTTACCTATCATCGGAGCTGGGCAACCTTTTCGTTGTAAATATGCTGATGCAGCCGCGAGTGACTGCTGGAATACAGGATACCGGAGCATTTGTTGAGGCATCCGAGGATCCTGCGTGCCCTGTCCGGTGAATACGAACCCCACTCGAGGTGGCTTCTGGCCGTATTGAGACTGTGAGAGGCCTCGTCCAGTCGCGAGCTGCATCCTCAAGTCTTCGCATGATGTAGCTAGTATATAACTATTCCAGCGAAGTCGAGAACGCCGCTCAGAAAGCGTGTACGCGATATCCAACAATGAACTATCGCTGACTTCTTGCCTGGCTTCCAGATAGGACAATAGTTGTTCAGCAGCACGACGAGGGGCACCTTCATCAAAGCCAGAAAATAGGAGCAATTTCACGGTCAGATCGTTTTCTCGCTGGCTTTTCGTGTCTAAACGGTTTGGTGGCCCATCTTCGCCCCTCTTCTGCTCAAGCCCATTGGAAGGAGAAACGACTAATCGGGTGTTATGGCGCCCCACCAAACCTTTTCGCTTGAGGTAACTGTGAGCATCCTCCATTATGCAGTGACCATTCGTGCCGCTAATACCGAAACAGTTGACAGAAGCCCGTCGTGGCCCAGTTCTCGGCCATGGTGTGACTTTGAGTGGAAAGCGGATATTCCACTCGTCGTTATTTATTCGGGGATTCACTTTCTCGAAGTTGACATTCGGAGGAATGAGACCAGCTTCCAGAACCAGGACAGCTTTTATGATACCCGCAAGCCCAGAGCTACCCTCCAAGTGACCAATATTGGACTTCACAGCGCCAACATAGAGAGGTTGGTCTCGCTTGGCACTTTGAAAAGCCTTCGCCAGAGACTCAACCTCAATTGGATCCCCAACAGGCGTACCTGCCCCGTGCGCCTCAACGAAAGAAGTTTCCCTGGGGTCTAGACCACAGGAGCGGTATGCATTCTGAATCAGAAGCACCTGGGCGTTCCCACTAGGGCGAGTGAGACCTGGGGTTCGGCCATCATGATCCAGGGCTGTGGAGAGAACCACGGCGCGAATGGTATCACCATCGCCAAGTGCCTTTTCCAGATCCTTCAGGATGACGGTTCCTACGCCTTCGCCCCGGGAATATCCATTAGCTCGATGGTCGAATGTAAAACACCTCCCTTCCGCACTGAAGAATCCCGAGTATCCCATGCTAAGGATATGATGGAATGAGCTGCACACATTTGCCCCGCTGACAATTGCCTAAACATTTGAGATTTTGGATGAGCTCAGCATTTGAGTCTTGAGCGTCGAGACTACCTACCATATCACTCTCTCCAGCGTGTAGACTTTGGGCAGCCAAGTGGAAAGCGACCATCGAGCTGGAGCACGCAGTCTCTATGGTCAGGCTGGGGCCCTTGAAGTCATAGAACCAGCTCACTCGACCTGAGATCATGGAGCTCTCAGCCCCTGTGGGCTGATGTTTTAAGGCTATGTCTGGATCGGTGCTCAGTCGATCACGATGATCATGGTTAAAGCCAGCCGCAAAGACAGAAGTGTTGGACGATACGAACTTGCTCATCGGGAGCCCGGCTAGAATTTAGTTAGGAAGAATCCAGCTCAATGGTATGCCGCACTCTACACGCACCATTCTCAAGGGCGTGATAGACATTTTCCATAACGAGCCGTTGCTGTGGATCAAGACTTTCAGCCTCGGTCTTGCTGATCGAGAAGAAGGCAGCATCGAAGGCATTGGGATTCTCAGAGAGAAACTGTGCCTGTCGAGTGTGGGTCTATTCGGTTCCAGAATTAGATGAACGCCATCAAGACTGGCATTTAAGATCTATAAGCGTGCCCACCGTTCCAGCATGTTCGGGATCTGGGTGATAAAATCCCTCGTGGTTCAGTCTGTCTTTTGGATAGCTCGTCGTTGCCTCTCGAGCTTCCAGAAGAAAGTCCCAGAATCGGTTGACATCTGTCATTCCTTGAGCGTATTTGGCTGCCAAACCAATGATTGCGAGGGGTTTCGACTGCTTGGCCGACGGTTTCTCCATATTCGGGCGTGTTGTGGGGTGCTAATCACTGTGTAGATTCAGGTGCCGGATGTCAATTTACGAAGCGAGAAGATAGAAGCAGGACGACTGGAGGTTGCCATAGCCAATGACCTGGTGTTCCCGGAGTGTAAGATAGGTCCGGGCCGGAACGCTACTTGACTCAGGTCAGCACAATGCGGTCACACAACGTTTGGCACCGATTGTATCGGGACAACTTGATGGCATGTATGCTTCCCCTTCGCATAATTCTCTCGTGGGCGAAACTTTAGCCTCCATCTTGAGCAGTGAGCTCTGTCGAGTAGGTGGTATGCCTTCTTTCTTCTCTGATTTGAGAGTCTTGATGAAACTATTCGTAGAACGTAGTAACGATTCGTCGAGGCTGATGAATGCTTGTTAAGAGTATATCACGCATACAAGTCCTCCCCTTGTCGCCCGTGCTTCAACGTGAGATATTTCAACAGCCGAGATACAGAAGTTCAAAAGAGACTTGAGAGGCCAGGAAGTAGAGAGGGAACGGGTGTTCAGATGATAGATAGAGGAAAGGGTGGTTGGGATAACGAGGGAAATGGAGCGGGAGAGGTTGAAGACGAAGACGAAGTGTCTAATGGGTTCAAGTGAGAACGAGAGTCAGCTCCTTCCCTGGAGCAATCGTGGCCTCAGGCTGCAACGTCCCCAAGTACGTACTGTGCCTACACTCCTGGATTTGTACTGTATAACAAAAAGAAAATGGACAAGTTGACACATTTCACCCATGCCGAGTTTAATCCCAACTCTTGAGATATAAGATTCCTTCTACAGCTAGTTAAATCCGCCTGTCATTCCAATTATCTCAAATTTACTCGCGAATGCTCAAGATCATTCGATTTGTCCAGCTAAAAAAAGGGATAAAGAACTTCATATACAAACTTGAATCGTAGATACATACATATACATCATGAATCACTAAACGCCTAGTGCCAGGGCTTGGGTATGCAGAAATCTATGTGCAGTAACCATAATTCAGGGAAGCACATTAACCAGAGCCAGCTCGTCTAGGGCTGACGCTGAGCTTCTCAAGCCAAGAGCTTGAGCCTAAGGCTCCTCCACCGGCAGCTTTGCATTTGCAGCATTCTGCTCCTCGGCAATCACATCGGCGGGGATCTGGTCGGGCGTTGTGTTGACTAGCATGATCATGGGTAGTAAGGCAGCGCCCAGGAGGCCGAACGTCACGCAGCTGGAAGAAATCAGTTATCACCTGAGCCATTGAGAGAAGATGGACCATAGGACTGAAGAAAAAGAATTATACGTACAAGCCAACAAGCGGACTACTCGACGTCTGAGTGTTCATGCCATAAGCGATGGCTTGGCCAATAGCCTCAATACACCGGAATGCTGCGCCGTTGCGGACGTTTTCTAGAAGCTCGTCAGTAAACATGACCTAAGCCTGAAAGAGTGTAGCAGGTGAAGTTACCTTGCGCATCCGTTGCAAAGGATGAGAGCAACCAGTACATGTACGACTGGGACAGGGGACCCGTCGTCTGTACGAAGAAGTAGGGCAGGAAGGACGTGGCGTACAGGCCATCGTTCCAGTCGATGTTACCGGGGTCATAACGGTCGAATTTCACCTGCATGATGATGGACCAGATGTACACGCCGATGTTGAGGATGACGACGGTGTAGAGGCCGATCTGGGCGCGGCGGCGCTGGCTCATGCCCTTCATGTCGAGGATGAATCCGAGACCAAAGCAGCCAATACTAAATTACGGTTAGGGCTTGGATGATGTGACGAGACTGTAAAGGCCTGAAAGACCTACATGCAGAAGAAAGGCGAAATCAGGGAGGAGAGGGCGCGGGCGCGGACGGAAAAGTAGTCGGCCAGATAGGTGCTCCAAGATCCTCTATTATCACGGTCAAGCTCTGGTCGGTTGGTTCATTTGGAGTGGTTAAGATTGTTGCTTACGAGTAAAAGAACGACCACAAAGCCCAGAGGGCGGAAAGCATGATGAGCTTGGAGGTAATGGTCTTCGCAATGCGTCGAAGTTCCATTCGACTGGAGAGCGTCTCTGCTGTCACAATTCTAGTGCCATCGGACCGGACAACGTGTTCGAAGGGAATGATCAATAGAGCGAATGGTAGGCTTCGAGCTTGTGTTAGCTTCATCTTTGCAAGTAGATTAGAGTGGCTAAGAACTCACGCAATGCACTCAATGATCACAAATGCAATGAAAGTGTCAGGGGTCACTCCACCATCCGCTCCATCCTTACTATTCTTCGCCAAGCTGTGCAGAGAACCTCCAGTCAGGACTCAATCACCAATAAACTGAGAATGTGGGTAAGAACTCACTTGATCGCCCCTCCGACCAACTGTCCCAAGTTCCGTGACACAATCCACAACGCTAGATACTTTCCTCGGGCACCAGACGGCGCCAGAGTCATGATGGCGCCCGCCTCAGCGACATACCAGCAAGCAGTGCCGATGCCGCCGATAGCACCACTTAGGATGAGATACCATTGGTTTCCAAACTTGCTATTGCAGTAGTATGCTGAGCCCTGGATGGGGAATGACAAGGAACCGATGACAAGGGCCCATTTGACGCCGATTTTGTTGACAATGGGACCGCCCAGGAAGCAGACTGCGAGGTTGCGGATTCTTTTGTTAGTGTACTCAACATTCCTTGATAGAAGGGGAAGTGTATCTCGAGAGGAACGTACCGACTGCAAGCATGGCATATCTGATTGCGTTGGAGATATTAGATACCTGGGGACTTGCAAGGCCACCACCACCCAGGCCTGTGAGGAATTAGCGGCGCATGCTATAACAGAGTAGGCTGTCATTGAGGAGCTCTAACCAGTGATTGCGTCCGACATAGCAGGTCCACAGAACGCTTGCACGCTCAGTAGAATCATCTGCGTCAAACTGTGGCACCAGACTCGCTTCCACCATGGGAGAAGGGGCTCGCTGGTCCCTTCCACGGCAGTAGAAGGAGGGTCCTCATGGGTATGTGGAACAACAGCTTTTAAGTCGGTCATTGTGATCAAGTAATTGTACGACTCCTACCGCCTGTATGGTATCGCTCAGAAGAAAGGGAAACTTGAAAGGAAAGAAGCCCCAGAAACCCGAGGCATGGAGGGCAATTTAAGTTCCTGTTGGTAGGATATGTCGGCTATACGAGATAGCATATTCGCCTCTTACCGTGTCGTTGGACCCGACAAGAGATTAGGCTTATCGTGGGAACCTCTCGCCGGCGAGATAGCGACAGTGGGTCGCCTTCCCCGTGGGGTGAGTCTTGAGCATGGGAAGGTCCACGCGCAGAAGAAGAGTCTAGCAGTTTAGCAGTCTAGCTCCCTGCTTGGCTCCTCAATAGCGATTGGTGGCTCTACCGTGATAAGTTGGAGCAGTTGGAGGTTCTTGGCAAGACTTATCGCTTATCGTGCCTCATCACTGATAAAAGAGCGGGGATTCCCTCCATCTGGCCGGCCGGGGGGTCGGAAGGTCCACGCGATGGCATCAAGAGAGATAAAGTGATTATGATATGCTGTATACGCACTGGTTTAATCTTGGAGCGGAAAGTTTTGTTGATGTAATTAACTTTATGTCAACCTTGATTGTCGGGTTGGGTCACGGGTCGTATCCAAGTGCCTGAGGTGGTTGCTGCCTTGTTGCCTGGCTTGGAAGGCACGCCACTAACCGTGGACACTCCATGGGGCTCGAAATATGACTCTTCAACGAAGAGCTACTAAAACCAGGTGAACACCACCTCTGGTGAGTACCATAGTTGAGATAGCCCGGGATCGTGCTTGAGTAGGCTCTCCCGAGGCCATCATACCCCAGCTGTTCCACGCCACGAAATAATGCATTTTCCGGGCTTCAAGACTTAGCTGACTCCGATGCATAGAGATTCGCGTCACTTTTGCCCTGATACTGATTCTGAGCTTGACTGAGTCGCGGAACCATCGTGGTATCACGCCCCGCGTAGAAATATCCGAAAATCATCGAGCCCCCCGCAGGGACCGGGGATGGAAAATATTGGTTCAGTCATTGCCGAAGGGCATCACGCTGTAATATTCTCATCGATCCCATCATTTTATGTACAAAGCTTGCCTATCTGACGCTTTCTGTGCTGTGCTCTTTGGCCTGATTATATGGCCTATAATGGAGCACATCGACGCCTCTCATGACACCACCATGGCAAAGATGTGTATCTGTCTGAAGAGCATGGTGCTCATGGGTAGCGCTGCTAGACTCATCTGCTTAGTCTGCATTGTTGTGTGCTGTTATATGACCGAGTCTTCCAGCAACAAACAGAATGTTCGAAGGTCACATATGGTAATCCGACGCGCGGATGAAACAGCCTGTCACATATGCCACATCGATCTGGTGTCTTTTGTTCTTCCTAACTTTGAAGTATACGGCGCCACGGAGATACTGTGCTCAGAACAGCCTGGATATGGCATGCCTGAAACGTCGATATATGCAAATAATTCATACTGAAGTGCCCACGGATCTACTTTCCTATCAGAAGATACAATAATATGTCAGCGCAGTCACTGGTGTAGAGATTTAGCTTGATATAAGAAAGTGTCTTTCAATCGGGAAAGAACTAATGCCCCAGTCTTCTCCTTCTAACCATATCCAAATGAAACCATACCTACAAACCGCGACTTGATTGATCTTCAAATTCCTCACTCTTCATTCCCAACGCAAAAACTCATACAATTCACCATCAAGCATAAATAAAGCATACGATTTTGAAACCGATTATTCAGTACGGTGGGACTTTATATCAAGGTCCGAGTCTGTGTTACAGTCGTACAACATTTGACCCTCCGCGACGAGATCAGTGCTACCACATGCACCTACACTATACCTGCGGACGACACGAGAACACGGGTTCAGGTCCGACAATGGCTCCAAAAGGTCGTCCTGGAGACGGCAGCTTTGCGAGGTAAATGTAGTGCCCTGAGGCTGTTTGAGTCCAGACTCCTTGATGGTTCCCAAGAGCTATGAGCTTGGAGAAGAGAATGGAGGTATGTCGATCTCCTGCCAGTATGTCTTCGTTTCCTACCCACGTGGTTGCCAGTGCTGTTCATGGTGCTGGCGATGTTTTTGTAAGCTGGAAAGAATAATTCAACCAAATGGGAGTTGAACTGATAGCTGTTGCCTAGCTTCAAAGCGTACCGCCAGTTGTCTGGATGGTTGTGGCTCGATATGCCGCCCTCAACGGCGATTTGTTCTTTAAATTACCTCCCCTCGCCTCTTCAATAAGGCACAATTACACATTATACAACACTGGACACCTTATTTACTGGGATAGTGCAAGGAGGACGGGCGTTCATTAGAAGGGTTCTATCTTTGATCACTGCTCCGGTTTCTCTAGCCTTTATTGAGGTAGTTAGCAAGATGTGCTATTGCTATTAGTCGGTCATTAGGCCAACTCACAATCAACTGTGTTCTATTCCTAAAGTTGTGTTTGCAAAAAGCGTAGTAAGATGTATAAAGTTGTAGCGTAATATAGTCTTTTACAAGTCTTATTACTATCACGGTGTCATGAGCTCCTTGGACCCTGCATTTACCATGAGAGGGAATTCGTCGTCGACGAGGAGAATATTCCGTCGTCTGGAAGAGATACAGATTTCCTCCGTCTCAGTCCGAAGTGTCGGAATAAGGCTACCGCAAACTCAGCAGCATCTGTTCCGGATTTTCAACCAGCTCCCGCACTCTGTTAGCCATACGCGCCATGGTCGCGCCATCCACCACTCGATGATCGGCACTCCAGCTGAAATTAACGAGTTCGCCTTTCGTGACCTGGCCAGCGTCGTCAAAGACAGGCAGAGTTCTGACTTTTCCAATGCCCATAATCGCCACTTCAGTCGGGACTAGCACTGGTGCAACATAAGTGCCTCCGATATTCCCGATGTTAGAGACGGTGATAGTACCGCCGTTAAGATCCGCCGGCGTGATCTTACCCTCCCTGCCCAAGGCACTGAGTCGACTTATCTCCGATGCAACATCCAAGATAGAGCGATTGGCAACATCTTTGATGTTGGGTACAATCAGCCCTTGAGGAGTGTCCATTGCAATGCCGATATTATGCTTGGAGCGCATGATAAGCTGTGGCTTATCTGGATTGGTTGCGTCAACCCTTGCGTTTAGTAGGGGATACTCGTTGAGAGCAAGAGACACAGCCTTCACAACAAACGACAGAAAGGTGACCTTCCGTGGGTCCTTTGCGTCGGCGGCGAGCTTCCTTCGCATGGAATTGACAGCGTTAATGTTGAGCTCATCGGCGAATAGTAGATGAGGGATTGTGAGAGAACGGGTCATTGTCTTGAACATCTGCGACTGGATGGGCGTTAACTTGACTGCCGTCTCGGCTTGTGGCTCCTCAACAGCTGCAGGCTTTGTGGCGACTCCGGAGTCTCGCCTCATAGCGAATCGCTGTACATCCTCCTTCATAACCCGGCCATCCTTGCCAGTACCTTGTACATCTTCGATGTTGACATTCAGTGTCTTCAGCAGCCCTCGGACTGCGGGGGTGGCGAGGGTGGCATAGGGTGATTTTGATGTGCTAGTATCGACCTGTGACTGTGTGGGCTGAGGAGCTTGCTTAGGCTGTGGTTGCGTGGGTTGTGAAATTATTGGCTCCGGAGCTATTGTGATCGGTTCGGAGATGGGTTTAGGCGGGGGAGTCTCGTCGGGGTATTTCCCATCGTCAACCTCGATATCACAGAGAGCCTGTGCAGAATGACTTAGTACTCAGATCTGTAAGTTTCCGTCTGCAGCATACCTTTCCTGTGGGAACGGTGTCATCGGCCTGGAAATGGAGCTTCTTGACCACGCCTTCGTATCTCGACGTGATCTACAGAAATTAGAACGGGATCAACATAAGGGTCACGAATTCCATCAACTCACATCGTCAACTGCCTTATCAGATTGGTATTGACAGAGTGGCTTCCATTCCTCGATACGCGCCCCTTCCTCGACGTACCATTGGATGATCTGGACCTCCGTTATCCCTGCGGAGAGGTTGGTAAACAATCGATTCGAGCAGGGTTGCTCAACCGCGTCTCAAAGAATTCAAGTAAGATATAGGGGGAGCATACCCTCGCCGACGTCCTTCAATACTTGGGACTTCACTCCCCACAAGGGCGCAGCTCTGTGAAATTGCCGGCGAGGAATGGTAAGTGTTTTGGTCGGAAGGGCCTTCGACCGTTGACCAGAGCGAAGAGCCCAGGAAAAGCTTCCACTGCACCGTAGAATGTTCATGATGATGATCTGAAGTCAGTCCTCACACTGAAAGAGAGAAGATGGTTCACAGAGATAGAAACCCAGGCAGCTTCCCCGCCGCATGATGGGTGTTGGGGGAGTAAGTAAACGCGGAGACTCCGCCGACGATAACCGACGCTCGGCGTCATTGCACGTGACCCTTCTCCGCATCTCCGCATTATCTCCGGGCCGTGCGTTTTCCCGCTGGAGTATGCATAATCGAGGGAGTGATCGAGATAGACCAACCGGTAAAATGCCATTGAAGAATCACCATTTCGCAGGGTGGACTTATACCTGATCTTAGAAGAGATTTGGTCCGGTACATGACATACGTGGGCGTTAGTCAGTGACATGGTCATATTTCACCCGCCGGATCGTTTCTACTTACTTCCTTCATTACCTCTCCAGCCTATTAACCTGCCCAGCTTCATGCCGATAACATCGCCTAGCCAAACCGATACGTGACAGATGTTTATCCTGAGTCTACTCACATGAAGCGACGGGACACGTTCAAATTCATTCACAATCATACTATGAACCTTCTCATCATCCAAGACGAGTGCGAGTCCCTAGACCCATGTTTCCCCACTAAGGTCTGTGCTTAATATATCAGTGGAGCACGATTGCGAACCGGACTTCCGCAATTCTTTGTCGATCATTATTATGGCAACACCTCACTTGTAAAAGATCTGATTTCCCAGGGGTGACCAAACATCGACCGAATGTTTGATAATGGACTGCTGACCCTTGGCATGCCTGAAGTTCCTGGGTGCTGTGGATCGAGTCTTGCCTTCCATTGGCGCCGAGCCCATAATTTGCTGCTGAAGTTCAGCTGGGGATCTCCTTCAGCGCTAGCCACTGCCAATGATAAGCTGCGCCCCAATCGTTATTTTGAAAGGCTGATGCCTACCGACAGATTATTTCTTTGACTTGCGCGCAGCTTCAGCCCTATCCGAAAGTTTCTTGACCTAGGTCCTAGATGCAGAAAAATTTTCCCTTTGTGTCCTAGGTCTTTCGTTTCATCTACATCGATTGAGAACAGCCTATCCTTCATCCCGATCGAATTCTCATGCACGAGTGAACACTACAAGATGGTTGCCGAACATCTCACCATCCGCAACGTCACATCAACACCAATCCGGCTCAAGCGCATCGAGCGGTTCCGCGCGCCGGAGCGGTCGTTCGAAGGGGTGCAAACCTTCGCTAGGAACTTCACCCGCGTGCTCACCAACGTGACTCGCGCCACCACACCCGTCGCCGCCATCCACGACGACACCACGCCATTCACCCACAATGAAGCCGACTTCGAGATCGCGCCCTTCCAGACCGTTCACACCGAGATCCGCGCGTTCCTGGACTCGAAGAAGGAACGCCTGCGCTGGATCTTCGAGGTTGAGGGCGAGGAGCACCAGCTCCAGACCCCGGTGCCGACCACCGAGTCCGCCACCATGAAGGCGATGAGCGACGACCCCAAGTTCCGGCTCACGGGCGTCTTCATAACCCCGGAGTCGCACCTGACCATCTTCTCGTCCGCCCACCTCGAAGCCTGGATGCGGGAGCTCGACGGCGACGTGCTGCTCTCCTCGCTCTCCATCCCGGGCACGCACAACTCGCCGACCTGCCATGTCGCGGCGCCCTCGGTGCGCTGCCAAGCGGTCAGTCCGCGCGAGCAGCTGCGCAACGGGGTGCGGTTCTTCGACATCCGCGTCCAACCGCAGTACCCGGACGATGCGGACCGCGACGAGCTGACCCTCGTGCACAGCGTGTTCCCCATTTCCCTTACTGGTAGCAAGTACTTCCGGGACCTGATGCGCGAGGTCGAGGAGTTCCTGTCGGAAAACCCGTCGGAGGCGGTGATTATCTCGCTGAAGCGCGAGGGACCGGGCACCCACACCGACGAACAGCTCAGCCGCATCCTCAAGGACCACTACACCTCCGCAGAAGGCAGCCGGTGGTACACGGAGCCCAAGATCCCGACTCTGGGCGAGGTCCGCGGCAAGGTTGTGCTGCTGCGCCGCTTCAACATTCAGGACAGCCTCAAGGAGCTCCACGACGGCCACGGTTGGGGCATCGACGCCAGCGGCTGGGCCGACAACTGCGCCGACGCCACCTGCCCCAGCGGCCAGCTGTGCATCCAGGACTTCTACGAGGTCCTCCTCACCCAGAACATCGACCAGAAGATCCAGTACGTCCGCGACCAGTGCCAGCGCGCCGGCGGTACGGTGTATCCGTTCGGCGTGCTGCCGGATTCGTCCGCCACCCGCGACCATCCCTTCTATATCAATTTCCTCAGCGCCAGTAATTTCTGGAAGGTCGGCACGTGGCCGGAGAAGATTGCGGCCAAGGTGAATCCGGCTACGGTCGATTATCTGTGCAGACGGCATGGCAGCGGGGAGGATGGGGATTGGTCCACGGGCATCCTGGTCACTGACTGGGTGGGCTTGGATGGGGATTGGGATCTGGTGCGGTGTATTGTAGGGATGAATGCCCGGGTGAGGGAGAGGCGGCTGGCGCAGGTGGACGATTGGTAGGATGGGCGGGGACCTCCCTGAAGTAGCATGATTATGACACCCATCTGATAGTGGACGTTTACATAGATACCATTTACTCCTATTCCGAAAGCTTCAAGCAGGCAAGGCCAACGTTCATGCAGTAAAACGAAGTAAAAAAAAAGGTCATTGTATCCTAGAGCAATAGACTCCGATCTCTAATCGATCTCATATGCTAAAATGGGTTGAGAACAAACACAAACAAGAAAAGGTTACACATGGGTGTTATTATACACAGAAAAAAGAAAGGGAAATCCCCCACCGAAAAAACTACATTGTATTCACCGCCGCGTTCAGGCGGACTCATCCTTCTTCTCCTCGGGGCCCTTCTGCTCCTCCTCCAGGACGCTCCGACGGCTCTCCAGCGTGAAGTACAAGCTCTTACCCGCGCCCTCGAGGGTGTTGGTGATGCTGGAGCCGATGCTCTGGAGCGCCGTGACCAGCTGTGACCGCAGACCGTCCATACCGCCCTCGATGCTGCTGACCCACTTGGACTGCTCGACGTCCATGACCTGGCCGTCCATGCGGGCGGCGATCAGCGACAGCTTGCTCAGGCCGTTCTGCACGGGGATCTCGTGCCAGCCCGGGTTGGCCTTGCGGGTCGGGGCGGGCAGGCCGACGACCTTGGGGGCCAGGACGGTGAGGGCGGCCTTCAGGTGCTCCGGTGAGACCTGGGGGATGGTGAGGACGGCGGTGGGGCCGACCAGGAGCGGCGCCATCTCGTGCTGGCCCTTGTGGTCGAGGACGGCGTCGTGGGCGGCGCGCGACAGGTCGTGCGTGAGCAGGCTCGGGTCCAGCGGGATCTCGGCGGAGGTCTGCGTGACGGGGTCGACGGCGTCCGGCGTGGCCGCCGCCGCCGTGGTGCTGGGCCGGAAGTACTCGACGATGCGCAGCGCCACCTCGAAGATCCGGGTCTGCACGATCTGCACCTTGATGTGCGGCGCCAGCGCGGGCGCGGCGCGGCCCTCCGACGCAATCTTCTCGTCCACCTTGCGCATGGCGTGGCTCAGCTCCCGCCGGATCGCCGTCCACTCCACCGACTGCAGGTTGTCGTGCTGCAGGAACACCATCAGCGGCGCCGTGCGGATCATCGAGGTATACTGGCGCAGGAGCTGCGAGCGGCGGTACTCCGGCCGGCGGTATGACGGGGGCTGCGAGGAGGGATAGTGGACGATCGGAGCGTGCGAGCGGGTCATCTGCTCGTGGGAAGCGGCCGGGGTCGTCGCCGTGCTGGCGTATCGGGCTGCAATGGCCATCTCATACTGGCAGAATCTTTGGCGTCGGACTGGCTGGGCGAGCCGGCCGCTGGAGAGACGCATCCGGGGAGGCATTGTGATGGTGGGAGGGAGTTGACGGAGGGCGTGAAGAAATAAAAAGCAGTGACGGACACGGTAGGGGAAGTAGGTCCAAGAGACAAATAAGTATCTCCAAGTCCGGTGGAATTGACAACGCCGGCGACAATCACAATGTCTGGGGCAGGAGCGCGGACTGGCGAAAATATGGCACGAAATCTTGTTGTCCCGATGCGGTTAGACGGGACCTGAGGGCGGTGAGATTCTGCAAGTTTGCTTGCGCAGCGCCGGAGGGGCCCGAATGACTCTTTCTGCTTCGGTCTCTTTCATTGTCTCCTCGCATCTCAATTTATTTTCCATTTTCGACCTTTGGAGAAAGCTATAATACCTGGCTAGTGATTTTGGTTTCTTCGTCAGGAAAAATGGCTGCTCCGCATCAGGAAACCAAGCAGGGACAGGTCTCTATCTCACCCCTCCTCAAGAGACTCGCCTACCCCGCTACAGAGGTTCAGGTCTCCGCGACCGAGATTGCTGCTGCTTTTGCGCTGATCTTCGAAGATGGGCTCTCGCAGATTCAAACCGCCGCGCTTCTGACGCTCTTGCACTCCACCGGACTCGATCGTGATGCAGAGGTGATCGCCAAATGCTCCCACCGCATGAGAGAAGCTGCCGTCCAGGTGGACAAGGCAGCTCTCAAGGCGGCTATGAAGTCCCGCGGTAAGAAGGAGGGACAGTACAGAGGTGGTCTGGTATGTCATGCCTAGTGATCCGATCGCTCCTCACAGTAGACTTATCTGACGGTCCCCCCCCCTTCTCGAGCTATAGTGTGACATCGTCGGAACCGGTGGTGACTCTCATTCCACCTTCAACATCTCGACCACCTCCTCCATCATTGCCTCTCCCCTTCTCCTCACAGCAAAGCATGGCAACCGTGCACAGACGTCTTTCTCCGGGTCCGCCGATGTCCTGCAGGCCGTGGCACCAATTCCTCCGAAGATCGATGCCGTCACCGCCGAAAACCTGAGCAAAGTGTACGCCGCGACCAATTACTCCTTCTTGTTTGCGCCCAACTTCCACCACGGCATGCGGTACGCCGACACTGTGCGACGTGGCCTGGGTCTTCGGACGATTTTCAACCTCATGGGACCCCTGGCCAACCCTGTTGATTGGGCCATCGAAGCCCGCGTCGTCGGCGTGGCCTACCAGAGCCTGGGACCGGTCTTCGTGGAGGCGCTCCGCCAGAACGGATGCAAGAAGGCGTTGGTTGTCTGCGGCGCGGAGGACCTGGATGAGATCAGCTGCGCTGGCACAACCAACTGCTGGCGACTGTCGGAGTACCCCAACGCCGCGTACAAGCAGCCGGAGAACGAGGATGGCGAGTGCTCCTGCGATGAGGACCAGAACCCCCGCACTCTGGTCAAGATGGAAATGTTCCAGCTGCACCCGTCCGATTTTGGCCTGAAGGCCTACCCTCTGACGGAGGTGTTTGGGAAGAAGATGCCCAAGGACAATGCCGAAAAGCTGATGAGCATTCTGCGCAACGAGCTGCCCCGTGACGACCCAATCCTGAGCTTTGTGCTTCAGAACGTGGCCGCCCTTTTGGTAACGTCGGGTATCTGTGAGGCAGAGACCAGCAACATGGGTCCTGGGGACGATGGCCAGGTGATTACCGAGCGGGGACCTGGCGGCGGGCGCTGGAAGGAAGGTGTCCGCCGGGCGCGCTGGTGCATTGAGAGCGGCGCCGCTCTCCGAAGCTTCGAGCACTTTATCGAAGTGACTAACCAGCTGTGATGACTTTGGAATATGTATGTGCGTTATATAGTTCGGTTCTTCTACGGACAAGCATTGGGAGATTGGATTATTCTGGCCGGATAGACCGGTCTGATTTGAAGAACTTGTGAGTAGCATAGGATAATGCAAGCATAGCATATGACCAGAGGCTAGGTTGTTGGGGTATAATCGGCCAGTTGCCAGGACAGCCTCGCTAGAAATAGTTTCCTATGCGACTTACCCATAGCCACGGTGACAGCCATAGCACGCGGACCCGACCTGTCCAGGCTCAATCTTTGAGCCAGTCTGACGACAAAGAACCTTACCCTGTCTACCCAGCACATCCGCACCACCACCACCACCACCACGACGCAAAGAGTATATGAAAAAAAAGAGTGGTATGAACTCCCAAACACCACAGGTGAAAATGCACATCAATCGTAATCCAAGCAGCAACCCCATCTTCCCCTCCATCTTCCCCTTCCTCTTTTCATCTCCCTTTTCAGTTTCCCATGAATCTGCTTCCCTTCCTCATCTCACCCAGCCCCCAAAGTAACATAACTGTAACTCAATAATCGGCAATTACCGCGCCTCAAACTGCACCATTCTAGATTTCCGCAAAGAAAAATCGTCAGCAAACCCATCCTTCACCCTCAACCCCTCCTTCAAACCCAAAGGGAAAAAAAGCACAAACCTCTTCGTCCGCTCCTTATACAGCACACGGTGTCCGCACTCCTTGCACCGGATCTGATCGCCGCGCTTCAACGACACCCGCGAGTTGCACTCGCCGCACAGGTAGGCGACCATGGGGCCGTCGAGGGAGGAGCCCGCCGCGCCGCCCGCACCGCCGTCGGCGCCGCCGAAGGCGCTCTGGGAGCCACCTAGGTTCGAGGGGACTTGGTAGGCTTCACGGGACATTCTTTCTCGGTTGTTGAGAGATGAGATGGGGTTCTTGTCTGGTGTGGCTAGAGGCTTGGGAGGTCTGCGATGCGATGGTTGGGTGAGCTGGTAGGTGGAATATTATCGCGGGAACTTTTTTGCGGCGCAGATAGAAGGATCTGGAGCGGTTAGTCAGCTGATTGTTGGTTCTGGTGGTCGTGGCTTACGGCTAGCTTGTTTGGGGTAGGCGGTGGGTTGACCCCGGGTCTATAGAGCACTTAATCTAGATATGCGCATTACCTTCATCAAATTATGATTTGATGGGCCTTCATGGCTTGTCGATAGGTGGAATTTCCTTTTACTCCTTGGCTGAAGGTAAGACCGTTGTTGTATGGACAAAGGGGCTGAAATATTTATCTATATCCGTAGCTATGCAGTCCTAATGCAATCATATGGAATCATATATGCAAACATCACAGGGTATATGTATATATCGTCATCAATTGTCAGAAATCACCAACCACCACCGATCTTCCCAGCCAACTCAACCACGCGAGCGGCATCCGGTGGTCCCTGGGGCTTGCCCACGTCGCTCTCAACCTCCCGATATGTAGTATAAGCCAGCTTTGAAAGAGGCATGTCCATGAAGGTGGCCCAGTGGTTCAGGGCGGTATGCACCCTGGCCTCTTGTTCCGCAAGAGACAAGGGCTGTGATTGAGGGGCGACCTCACTCTCCGAGTCCGACTCGGCAGAATAGTAAGCTTCGTCCACACGAGCGAGCCATGCGCGCTGTTCATGCGGTGAGGGCTTCGGCGTCTCCCCTGAAGTCTCGGTCTGTGCGCTTGTTGCGTCCCGGGCGTCTTCAATGCGGATCTGTCCTCCGCCATTCGTGCAGCCCCCAGGGCATGCCATGACCTCCACGTATGCATAGTCTGAGCCCGATCCACCTGATGCAGCATTCCGTCCCATCGGCTGCCGTTTGCTGCCGCCCATCGGCCCATTTGCTGTCCGCGCACCCGGGAGTCTCGAGACTCGCGCTGGCTTGAGTTTACGGACAAGGTTCTGGATGTTTCTGAAACCGTAGTAGCGGGCAGCCTTCATAATGGGCTGATGTTCGGGCGACATCAGAAAGT